ATATATGGTAAAAATTTATCATGTAACATATATTATTAACACTTTAATGTACAAATTCATATACAAAATATTTAATTTTGTTATTTTTATGCGTATTTATATGACAAAATACTCTATATATAATATTTAAAAAAATTAAAATTAATTATCTGACTCAACAAGTGATCTGGTAACCCGGCAGTTGAACTGGCGACTCGATGACTTGCCTGGGTCAATTCTCGAGCCGAGTTTAAAAACTATGATTATAAATAAACATAGAATCTTGATTCACTAAATATTAGGCAAGAATTATAAATATATGATTTTAGAAATATATCTTGAATATTATATTTGGCAAACCCATGCTACAATCTAGTAAAGGATACCCACTATTAAATTATTACTAGATTGTTACAATAACATATTCCATAAAATCAGTAATAATTTAAATATTCATACATTTAGTGCATAGTTTTTTAGTCAAACAGACTCAGCGGGTTAAGTCGATACTGGTCCGTGTAGGTTTCAGGATAATAAAGGACCTTGTCGATCCAACCTTGATATAACTGGCCCGAACATTTGTTGAATTCTAGAAGTGCGAAACCAGCATCCGCGCAACGGAATTTTTAAAATTTTCTTATTAATGACGAAATATCTATTCGATATGAACTTTTGTCGCGTGAATGACCAACGAAAACTTACACTTGTTCGTAAGTTTTGTCCTCGTATATGCTATCCACGCAATTTAGTTTTCTAGTGCATGATCTAACGCCAATTAATGTCTTCCGTGAAGAAGCTATGAATCGTAAACCAGAAACTTAAAGAGTGTTATTGTCTAGATCTTTTGATGTCACGATTTGTATCTAACTTCTTAGATAAAAAGCTGAGAAATGATAATGAGGTTTTTATAATTCGTCAAACCTAATTATAGGCAGTAGGAAATCCTATGACCCAATAGGTAATTGGGCCTAATGTAATTAATAATTTCATTAAGTACAAATTCAGTTTAATTTAATTAGATATTTTCTATCAAATAGAAAACAATCCCCTTACTCATAAATAAATTTTCAATCTAATTGAACATTTATCACTCGCAATTCACTCTTAGTCGAAAAAGTAACTGCATATTGTGTGACTCTATATGTCTTCATATATTGACATAAATGTATTTAAGATCCTCACGAAACGCCTAGACTGCGTCGAACGACGAACTCAAAATATACGTTTACATGGACAAAGCAAACAAAACCTTTAGCGTAGAACTTCATAGTGATACGGTCCCTTCATTCACGAACACTCGATTAAGCTTAGGACTTGAACGTGTGTCTATCCAAACAACTTAATCATTATATCTCTTCTTATTGGTTGACTTTAATTAATTATATTTGAACATCATTCCAAAAATAATCACATGCACTTGTCAATGATTTTATCAACATAGTATAGATAAAAAAGTGTTCTCTCGAAACTATATTCGATGAATGAATTTTATCTTGACTCAATTACTAATTCTATGTATATCGTGATCTACCCAACACAAGCTCGTATTTACCCCAAAAGGAGCGTAAACATTGGACTATATCTAAGTAAATCACACTATATATGAATCGTGTATGACCTCAAGTCAAAAGACCATTACACCATTCTACACACCGATACTCTCATAAATACATAAACAAATAGTTTATTCGTAGGGTATACCAACATTCTTCAAAGTATCGATGTGTTAATAACAATTATTTATAGTAGTGAGACTTCCTATATTCTCCAAGAATATGATGCAGACTGCATGTCAATGTATCATGTGTTATTAATATCCGTTACTTTAATGATCATCGATTGACGAAGGTTAAGGGTTATACTATATCAACTAGGGGTGTTCACGGTCCTGATTGGTCCGATTTTAGCCCAAACCATGACTAAACCGGACCTAACGGTTAATTTTTTTCTTGTCCATAACCGGACCAGTTTTATTTTTAACTGGCCACAATCTGGACCGTATTGAACGGTCCGGTTTGGCGGTTAACCGGTTAAATCCAAAATCTTTGTTTTGGGCCCAAAAGAGATTATTTGGGCCCAAAATTAAGAAAAACAACAATAATGAAATAAAAAATACATAATTCGTTTCATAAGCATAAAACACACATTTCGTCCAATAAACATAAAAATGCAAAAATGATGAAAATTAAATTATGCAAACTGAACCTAAGCAAGCATTCATTTTTCAGTCAGTTTATACTGTCTTACAAAATTAAGTCAACAAAAGGCCAAAAAGTGAAAGTGAATGTATTGTATTTGTCGGCCATAGTGAATGACTGTATAAAAATATATAT